AAAAAAAAAAAAAACCAGATAAATTGTGTGTACTTTAGTATATAAGTTGGACGATGGTAACACTCCTCATTAACCCCCCAGCTGTCATGCATCTTCACCAAAGCCTGAAGTTAGCATTCAATTTTTTTGGGTACGCGTTAGCATTCAATTTTGTGCTGCTTTTTCAGTTTCTACGATCGCACAATATTTGTCAATTGTTTGTTGGGGGTTGAATATTTGTTAATATTTTTACCACGAACATAATGAGATGAACTATAGAAGTATTTAAGTGTGACACTTAATTATATAAATAAAATAGTACTCTTCTTTTTTAAAAAAAAAAGGGGCTTTTTTTTTTTTTAAATTTTAAGTTCTTTTTTGTTCTTTTTTATAATATTATATAAATAATAATTAAAATTTTTTTATATGTAATTGTTATTTAATAATTAGTTTCATTTGATTAAAAAAATTAATAATTATTTATATTAAGTAAAAAGCATTGATAGATATGTAAAAAAGTCAACTGATGTATGTCTTGACATAGAAAAAATAAAGCAAAAAAATATTGTATCTTGAAAATGTAAAAGAAAATTTTAATGGTACAAAAGAATAGATGTTGTAGAATGGATGGAGTATTTAATAGTGACAAAGCATATTTTATGCATTACAATACAACAAAATCAAACTTCAAGGGCTAACAGGTGGTAAGTATATTTTATGCATAATTTTTCCCCATATATATATATGATCAATATTTTATATATGTAAAATATAAGATTTATGTATATATATATATATAATTAAGACGTTTAATAATAACTATATCATTAAAACTTATATTATATCACATATATTTAATAATTATGATTGAATGTGTTTAACTTTTTAGTACGTAGTTCCTTCTTCCAAATGGCATCCTCCTCCCAAATTCTTTTATAAATGTAAAAGCCGATGCATCCTTTTTGTTAAAGGAATAATGGATATGCTACAATGGGAGCACCATGTAGAGATAAGTGTAGGGACTCTTCTCGATGGAGAGCAATAGTGCCTTCTATTTTAGCCATAAAAACTTTAGCCTTGAGAACGGGCAGTTGCTCAATATGGTTTTCAATTAACACATGCTTTTTGAATGAAAATTGAAAATAATTACAATAACACATGATATCATAAATTTATAATTATAATATATTATTATTTATTTTTTCATATATTTATTTCTAATATTATATATATTTAATAATAAATTATAATTATAATTATAAATTTATAATTTTATATAATATTATAATTATAATATTATCATTTTTTAGTAGGGTTTAAAGGAACTCATCTTTTGCGTCGATCATCAAAGGTTTGATAACTTGAAGAAGAATTACCGATTAACAAATTAAGAAACAGCTTCTTTTTTATTCATTTTGAAAAGTGAACTCCACACTTGACCAACTGATTCACTAATTATTAAGCCTGGCATGTGAATTTAACTTTTAAGAAAAGAAAATCACACGTGAAGATACTAACTATTTAAATAATTTAATAATAATTTTATTTTATTAAAAATAAAAAATTTTAAATTTAAATTATATAATATATATAAATAAAATAAAAAAAATTACCTTTTATTTTAGAATTAAAATTAAAAAAAAAATTACACATGAAGACCAACGCTTTTGATTTGATTTGATTTTAACATTCGCTTATCTTTTTCAGTTGACGTTACTCACCAACGTCAATACAATGAATACATGTCTGTACACACACCCAAACTTTAAAGCCGAGGATATAAATTGACCACAGAAAGGACTTATGCACATGTTCATAGAAAACGAAAAAAAGGAAGGAGACATGCACATGCAACTGCTAAATTTGTTTTTTCCTCCTTTTTTTTTTTTTGTCAAATACAAATTTAAGAAGGAAGATTGAAATTCAGTATTTAAAAGTAATGGTAAGCTATCTACAAAAATTTGTAATCAATTAACTTTATAGCGGTGCCATCTACTAAAGTTCATTATTACACAAGAAGGCCCACGCAACAGCCTGCGTCCATTTATTTGCGTCAGCTTGCACTACTGTTTTACGCCTTTTTTTTTTTTAGTTTTTCTAAATTATGTTTAAGGGAATGTATTAATAATATAATTATTTTCTATTTTTAAAAAGAAAAATTAATTTTTATTTAAATAATTATTTGATTAAAATAATTTATATAATATTAATGATAAATTAATAATAATTTTTATATTTTTAACATTAATTAACATAAAAAAATATAATAATTATATTCTTAATTAATGATCATTTTTATTTTGGGGAATTGATGATGCTCTCTTTTCCGCCTCCTATGTTTTGGGACTGATACGAGGCTTGTAATTAAGTTGTGTGTTGTACCGACAGAACTTCTGTTTTTCTTTTCTTTTTTTTCTTTTATATAGACAAAACTTCGCACATTATCCTTCGGATCAATTTACAGTTTGTAAGATTAAAGTGCATTTTCCCTGATTATTAGGTGGGTTTCGAATCTAGGCAAAACCATAAGTTAAGCCCCTGAACCAACCCCAGAATCGCTATTAAGCCCCTAGACTCTAATTGATGCATATAAGCCCCTGAACTCTACAA